GGTTTTATTGAAAAAATAAATAAATGAGCGACCGAAAGACTTAAGAGGATTAATCTAGTAATCCGATCTGGATTACTCTTGCGGCACTGTGAGTGACCAAAATGTTACGACCTCCTTGATAGACATGGTGTGTGTGTGTGTGTGTGTGTGGAGCCTTGAAGTGATGGCTATGGCGTGCACTGTCCACACCGTGTGCTGGCACTAGTGGTGCCACCCTCTCTGCCACCCACTGACAACACCGGCAGGTTTGCCATTCGTCCAGGTTGTTGGTGGCAGCATGTGGCGACGCGGCCCAATTGTGGATGCACCACCACCTCCACCAGTAGTAGTGACACGTAACCTCGAACACGTGTGTGACGAGGCACGTGCGAGGCAGGTGACGTCCGCCACGTGACCCCAGCACCCGCCCACCAGCGTCATGACCCTCATCGTGCCGCGGGGCAAGGACGCCCTCTCCACCACCACCACCACCAATGATGGCGCCGATAGCGGCTGCCTGGCAGGGTCTCCTGGCGATGCCAAGGAAGACGGGCGTCACCTGAGCGAGGGATACCTTGCCACGCAGCTCAAACGCCTCTCCCTCCCGGATATCGTTGCTTGCAAAAGCGTTGGAGGCAGCGATACCCAAACGTCAGCCCGCGTCCGCACCGTTAGTTTACATAAACCAAATATGAAACAAGAGAGCGGTCTTTGTGGGAGCGAATCTGAGCATAACGGAAGTAGCGAGTGCGATAGGGATCGGACAGTGAATATCAGTAGTCCTGAGTCAGTGTTACAGTGTGAAGGAACCATAAGTGAGTGTAGAGTGAGCGTGGACTCTATTACAAATTGTGTTGATGAATGTGAGAGGGATGAGGGGCTGGAGGGACCTGCTATCATCACTATCCCTCAGGTTCTTCAAGCAACCCAAATAAACATTGAGTGTCATCAGCCTCATGTGCCAAGCGAACGCATTCCTCAGGCAGACCAAACAAACAGCCTGACGGTGCAGGAGGCAGTTTGCTTTGGAGGAGGCAGCAGCAGCAGTTCGACGAGTCCTGACGTCACCGAAACATTAGACCAAACCCATCCTCCGGTCTCGGGAAAGTGGAGTGAAAACGGAGCCGTAGATGGAGGTTGTGTTGGACTTTTGGGACCCTCGGGTAATGGTGGCGAGGAGAAGAGTGATGACAACAATGGGGCAAGTTCAAAAGTTAACGATGACTTGGGTAATAACTTAAGCGGCGAGCATAACTTGAGTGGCACACGAGACCCGACCCGAGGAAGGGAAAGTGGCACAGGTAGTAGTGGTGAAGGTCGTAGTGACACACACCATGTGAAAAACAATGTAATAATAGGAACTGGCCTGAGTGATAAATTTATTCCGAGTGAAAGTGACTCCGGAGGCCCAGAAACACTTCATCAGGCAGGGCACGATGGGCCGCTGAAGGATAACAAGGAAGAGGATGATTTTAGCGCAACGAAGCAGAAAATAAATATTCTTCGGCAAAATTTTCTTTCGTCTCTGTCTACGGATGATGATGATGGTTGTGATTCCCCTGACTTTGTGGTTTTGCCTCACCATGTAGATACCAATTTTCAGATAGTTGAAGAGTCAGCCCAAGGAGGAAGAAGCACAAGTGAGGAGGGAGTCGTTGAGGCACTAGAGATCCCAGGCTGCGAGGGCGGTAATGGGGGTGATTTGCAGGAGGAAGTAGTGAACAAGAAGGCGGAGGTGTCAGGTGCCGAGGTTGAAGTGCCTGTTGGTGTCACTGTTATATCAACAGTGGCGGCGACCCCCACACATAACGAACCTCACCGCTTCTCTACATCTGTTCTGGAAACCCCAAACCATGACGCTACCCTTCAAGACGACAGTCCCGTCGAGACCGTGGGAAAGGTGGGTGTAGAATCTCGTCTTGTGTCGAGAGACAATTCCATGACAAGTTCTGTGGAAGACGAGACTCCGAGGAGTGGTCAGGTCGCTATACAAGACGCTCAAGTTTCTGCCGGTGTGGCGATGGATCTCGCCAGTGGAAACTTAAGGCTTGGCTATGATCTTTCAGCCGAAGACCAGCTGGAAGATAGTAGCATAGTCAATTATAGTCCTTTGGCCCTGCATCATACCCCCCCTATTGCCCATCTGCCGCCCACACCACCCTGCTCGCCACCCACTCTCTCCTCCTCCCCACTTGCCTCCATTCCACTTGGGCAAGCGGAATATACTATACAATCCACATACTTAAAAGGCCAATCCACAAATTGCGTTAATCTGCTGATGCACCAGTCCAGAAAGCACAGACGACTGCACAGACTGCGGACACCTGATGCGACAGTGGGCTCGCCCCTCAGGAACATGCAGCAGGAAGTAGAGAGGCAGACGGGGAGTGACTGCGAGACCCACCCACCCGCGCAACCGCCCCAGCAACATGGAAACCCACACGTGCAGCTCCTCGCCGCCAACGCTCATTGCGGAACGACGAACCAGTTGTGTCACCCGTCTCCGCAGTCACTGGAGGGAGGCGCCGGGGACCACCAGGAGCCCGGGGGCACAGAGGAAGACGCTCAACGACACCACCCTGGCCAGACTAGTGAGTGCGACAGCCGCCGCTTAGACGGCTCAGAAGAACCGTCTTGCCACGCCGACGTGCCTAGAGGGCCAACCAAATACAATACACTAGAGGGAAAATGTGTTGGTGAAAGTGAACGTGCTAGTAAAAACGTCATTGTATTAGAACCCGCAGTGACCAGAGCGGAGCAAACTACCAAACATTTAATAGATTTACGTACTGGCGATGGTGGATGCGATGGAGAAAACCAAAGAAAAGGTCCGAGTGCTACCTCGCCCTTAAACAACTCTTTGTCAAAAGGAGGAGCGACGCCAGCAACGAACGAGTCTAATTGTGATATTAGAGTGTGCGAGTCTAGGCTCGCGACCGCAGGCGGTGCTAGTGACACTGACAATGTTTTTGAAAGTGAATCGTGTTGTAGTGACGGTTCGTGTCGAGACCATATCAATTTTGAGCACGAAGAAAACGTTTATAATAATGAGCATGATATAGAACAGAAAAACAGGTTACGAGAAGCGTGTAAGGACATAGCACGTGCCCTGAACGCCCTTCCCTGCCCGATTCCTCAGGATGACATGGTGGGACTCCGAGCGACGATCCTGTCACCCACTCCTAGGCTACAATACCGGGACCAGGAGGTGGAGGCTCACCTCTCTGACTCGGAGGAGCAGCCGGAGGTGGAGAGGCTGCAGGTGCGCGTGAGGAGTACAGGCACCAGCACGGCTTCAGATGATGAACGAAGGAGCAGTCTCTATGATAACTGCGGCATGAACGACAGCTCGTGCGAGTGTGGCCACTGTCACGTCAGTGTCGCGGAAGAGCGCGCCAAACAGTCTGACATGCCTCCCGTCATCATGGACAAGTTTACGGGCACTAAACGCCCCGAGAAGAAGCGGTACAGCTGTGGCAGTGAACACGACACCAGTGATTACGACCAGGAGGACGAAGGCTTCAGAACAGACGCAGGGGAAGGTTGTCGTACTGACGAGTTCGATCCGGTAACGACATCCGACGACAACGATTATGACGACGATTACTGTCAGACAGATGATTGTGGTGAAGAGTGTGATTACTGCAGTGGCGACGACGCCGAAGACGAAGGGGAAGACACTTGTTATTTCTGCAAGCACAACCAGAGTCTCAGTCCTGTGTGCAAGCATCCCGGGGTCATAACAAATGGTATTCTCAAGTCGTTCAGCGCCCGACGATCTCAGGAAAAGGAGGCAGTACGACTACCTCGTCAGAGGTCGCTGGCCCTACAAGCGGCCATACAGCGTCGCAGACTCACTCGTCAAGGACTAGTGGCTATTAGGGAATCTAGCATCACGAGCGACGAACTTCCGGAGTCAGAGGAGGAACGCTCCAACGACGGCAGCAACTGCGATATATCGAGCAGCTGGAAGTTCGGTTTGTGTCGTGACATTGCGGCGTCTAGGGACTCCACCCTACGCAGCGTCCGCAGTGTCAGAAGCTCGTCATCTTTACCTGTGGTTAAAGAAAGACAGAGAAATAAAGAGAAATCCAATTCCCTCCCCGGAGCAAACTCTCGGTCTTTAGCGAGTGACCTGTCTGTAAGACAAACATCGGCAGCAGCGACGCCTCAACGACAGATCTCTACATCAGAAGACGAATCTGGCTCACACGGTTCCCTACCTCGTCTGCCGCCCCGTCCTCCCCGCGCCCCCCGCATGCGGCCTCCACTAACACCCAGCCCGCCTGCGGGAGCCCCCGCCTCCCCCAGCAGCCCCCGCCCAGCGATGGGTGTGCTGGGGCTGCAGCAGCAGAGGTCGCCGGGAACACCTCGAGCGCTGCACATCTCAGGCCTGCCCGTGGCGCCGCGCACCGTGGCGCCACGCAGCCCCAGTAACCCTAACCCCCCATACGGGTTCCCGGGAGCGGGCACGGCGCTCCTGTGTCCCGGCAGCCCGGGGTTATCGGGGCGGACCACGCCTTCCCCCGGGGCCGCCGACGGGCCTCCCCCTGCGTCTCCCCGTATCAACAGCCGGGCGGGGGCGCTGGTCACCCGCAATTTTTCCATCAGTGACGACGAGGGTGGCGGGCGGTGGACCGGTGGGCGGCGTCACGTGACCATCACCCGGCACGAGAGCGTGTATCGGGAGGTGGCGGAGAAGGGCTACCACCTGCCCCCAGGATCACCTGTCGACCCCTACTGGCTCACCTGGGTTAGTAACATTATTCACTTGTATTCTATATCCTGCCTCGGGTGCATTGCCACCAGAGGATAGCCATTTACACGAGAGTAGTCATGTACATTATGCATGTTGAGACGTGTTTTGATGTAACGAAAGAAGCGACCGTGGCCCGGGATCGAGGCTCGAATAACTGTGAAGACTCCCGAGGGCAGAGTCGAGGTGCACGCCTATACGGATGATTAAGAAAAACTTGTAATCATTGTCTTGGAGCCCGGGTGTGCACCGCTGGCTTTCATGCTGCGACAACTCTCTTTGAAAACCCCACCTTAAACTGTAATTTAACGCTCCCTCATGTTGCGTCTTGCCAAGCCGCTATGGAACAACAACCATTTTTGCTTTAATACAGAACGAGTTGAACGTGATTACCACTTGACGTATTCACTCTTATGTGGGAAAGCTGATCCATCAAATACGGTAAGTAAGGTTAATGTAGTATTGCCTGTAATAATAATAATAATAATAATAATAATAATGTTTTTTCTCCTGCGTCCCACTCCAAAATCCTTATCCTGATCCCATCCCAGTGCTATATAGTCGTAATGGCTTGGCGCTTTCTCCTGACAGTCCCCGTCCCTTCCTGCAGGAAATAAAGGCTGAACAAATAACCCGTTAGGTGTGGGAAGCTGTCAAGTGTGTTTTAACAGGCAGAACTTGACTAGAACCAATCGGCTCCGATGACACGTAATGTTATGGTGGGTGAGGAAAGAGCCATTGTGCCAGCAAGATCACACACATACATCAGGGCCGGAGGTCGGCCGGTAACGGAGGGTTCTTCAACACGACCTTGGTAGACAAAGCTTTATTTCGTATTGTATTTCATAGATTGATAAGACAAAGACCCATTATTTTCACCACACAATAGCAAAGATATTAATAACAAACGTGTTGGAAACGTGTACTGGTCGTGAGACCAAAGGTTGAGAAGCCCCCCTTCCCCCCCCCACATCTCGTGGGGGGCGGGGGGAGCCACGCCCCCCCCCCTCCACGAGATGTGGGGGGGGGTCGTGTTGGATGTAGGGAGGAGGCGGCGACCCTTTGATGATGATGATTTCAGATTCAGCTACTCGGAACAAGAAGTTGCAAGTAGCACGGGCTATGGTGAGCCCGTAGTGGACTTACCTGGCACAGGAGTGGGGCTGTAACTTGATCTGGGGACCCCTTAATGGCCTTTCGTTATGAGGAACTGGGGTGAGATGAGGTAACAGCTGGTCCTGCACGGGTGGTGAGGCACACCACCCCCGCCTCCAGTTGCGAGGCGGGACCAAAGAGCCGGAGCTCAACCCCCGCAAGCACAAATAGGTGAGCACACAGCTCAGGTCCTGCACGGGTGGTGAACTGTTTGTCAGGTGTGTGTAGACCAGCAGGTGTAGGCATGCATGCGCACGCTCCCGTGCAGAGGAGCATGCGCCCAAACACAGCATTATATGGCTCCACATGCTCTCACTTCCACACAGTCATATCTTCCACTTTATCGACCATTCCTTCTCACCATCCTGGTTGATACCTGGTTGATACCTGGTTGATGGGGTTCTGGGAGTAGTTCTACTCCCCAAGCCCGGCCCAAGGCCAGGCTTGACTTGCCCGTTGACTTGTGAGAGTTTGGTCCACTAGGCTGTCTTGCTCCTAACTCATTTCCTACCCGTCCCGGAAGCCAAGACTTTATAAATTTGTTAGAAAAGCTTGAACAGATAAGGGAAAATAATATGAAACTATATGTCCCATGCGCAGTGATAAAGCTGAATAATAGCGGACATTTAGGAAGGAAATATAAGTTTTTAAGCATTTGACAAACACGGCTGAAGTGTTTTGGTCTCACGTCTAAAGTACATATTGTGCCAAAGGCTGATTTTTGAGACTTAAAATACTAGCAAGACGCCCACAAAAGGCAAACAAACTATTGTTCCACCTGCTCTTGCCCAACCACTTGGGCTGGACGGTAGAGCGCCGGTCTCGCTTCATGCATGTCAGCGTTCAATCCCCGACCTTCCACAAGTGATTGGACACCATTCCTTCCGCCCCGTCCCATCCCAAATCCTTACCCTGACCCCTTCCAAGATTCCCTCCCTGCTGCTCTTCCGGGCGCCGACTTTTGATAATTACTTAATTTTCGGTTACTTTCTGTCGTTCTGGAAAGCATTACGCTGGAGATCAATAAACCCGGAGACTTCTTGTAGATAGCAAGTCTTATAGGCCTCTTTCCTCCCCCCCCCCCCAACCCCAGCCACCGAGGGGTGGGCGGGGCCAGACAACACATCATGCGTCTGGCAGCGGGGCGGTCACGGCGCCAGGACAGTTGCTGGATATCGACTCGATATCGACTACGATACATACTATATACACAACCAGACCCAGTGACCTCACACAGCCCCGCTCCTGTGCCAGGTTAAGTCCACTACGGGTTCACCATAGCCCGTGCTACTTGGAACACTTGTTCTGAGTAGCTGAATCTAAAAACACCACCAACAGTGACCTCAAACTCGTCACCTTGGGATCGCATAATCGGCAAGCAGTTCCCGGAGTCACGGTGGTTCATTTGTCTATTTCCGATACTATAGATTTATCTTAAAATAATGAAACAGGAAACGCTGTAAAAGACAAAATTACGTACCTCTGTTCCAAAAAAAAAAAATAATAATAAAGACTTCTAACTACATAACAGTTTTGTTGATGTTCCATTAGGCATTTTATGCATAATTACGGACTAAAAGCAATGCTAATATCATTATGTACTTCGTCATAACTAAATGAACCAAGACATTCCTGCCATAGATATAAAAAAACTTCATTGCCACAGAATTGCCGCAAATTAAATCACAAAATATAATCCATTTCCGTATGATTTACAAGTTGTCTCGGGGAACTTGAGCATTTACGTAAAAAAAAAAAAACAGCATAATAAAAACAGACGCTACCCTGCGTCTGGGATGCTCCCGGACGCAGGTTCGAATCCTCATCACGGCCCTTGTGGATTTGTTCATTTGATGCATCACGGTATTGTGATTTCTGTGTGTAGTGTAGAGCATAACCCCGGGCCATCAAAGCCCTGATTGCGTGTAATCACCATACATCAAAGCCCTGATTGTGTGTAATCACCATACATTAAAGCCCTGATTGCGTGTAATCACCATACATTAAAGCCCTGATTGCGTGTAATCACCATACATCAAAGCCCTGATTGTGTGTAAACAAAGCTTTTTAAGAGTTTTAACCACAGGAGGGAGGCTGGACCACTGGTGGTGGTTGGAGCGAGTGGTGGTGGTGTTTACCCAGTGGGAGTGCTCTACAGCGCTATGCTCTACCCACGCCTGTTGGGATAATGGTGATGGGTGTTGACGGAACAGCAGTGCTCTATAACCATCCTGTGAGCGGTATGAGCTACCGAGTCGTTACTTCACATCCTCCTGCAGGCGCACACGCCCACGCACACACCCACCCTTTACTCGGATATTAAGAAATAGAGACGCCTGCCCGACACGTTATGCGGGCGATGAGTCACAATAACGTGGCTAAAGTAAGTTGACCAGACCACACTCTAGAAGGTGAAGGGACGACGACGTTTTGGTCCGTCCTGGACCCTTCTCAAGTCATTCTCACAATCGACTTGAGAATGGTCCAGGATGGACCGAAACGTCGTCGTCCCTTCACCTTCTAGTGTGTGGTCTGGTCAACAGACATATTATATTCGAGCACGCAGTACATCAGAGGCACAGACTATGTATTTTGGTGGGTGAGAACACGGAGCACAACACACACTGCACGCCCACACAACCATCACACTGTTACACCCACACGCCCATCACACTGTTACGCCCACACGCCCATCACACTGTTACGCCCACACGCCCATCACACTGTTACGCCCACACGCCCATTATGCGCCCTCACACATTCCTGAGCCTGCTCGCCTTTTGGATTATAACATAAGTGATGAGATGACTTCGCTGGGGAACGGTCACTTCCTGTGCTTATGTGCTCACCTAAATGTACTTGTAGTGGAGCGCCTCATACATCCTGCCTCGACGCTCTTCTTCACCTGTTGTTGTTGTAGTTATAGATTCAGCTACTCGGAACAAGTTCCAAGTAGCACGGGCTATGGTGAGCCCGTAGGGGACTTACCTGGCACAGGAGCGGTGCCCTGATATTCACCTTCTTCCATTCCTTAAGTAGCCATGACTCTCTAACTTCACCTGATCTGGGTTCGATCAGGTGTATGGAAAGACAGCGCGGGTGCCTGTTCATGAATAAGTGCGCGTGCGTGTGTGCGTATTTCTTTACTCCTAGCTCGTAGCTTCCCAGTCTCTTCTCCCTCATATATCTTCTCACATTTACGCTAGAAATTTTACGGGCTCACCATAGCCCGTGCTACATGGATACTCCGTCCTGAATAGCTAAATCTTTAACAACAACAACAAACAGATAGAAATTGCCCACCTAGTTAGGTTCAGCAACCCTACCCCTAACCTGTTATCTGTTTACAAATCTTGCTTACAAAAAACTTTCTTCCTGACATGTCTCTTGAGACATTTGTCTCCCATCATAACGCTGCAATTTCCTAGATGGTATCTGGAGTTAGGCAATATTCTCCTATATTTGCGCACAAGTCATCCCGTCTTCAGCCTCCCCATCTCTGACGCACCCAGAGGTATTCATTTGGCTTTTTTTTTTTGCCTCATATCCTCATTTGACTCTTTACACGATGCGTGGGGACGAGTTATTAGTGATATTGATCAAGTTCAGTATTTCACTGTGAGATTATATCTTGTGTACGGGTATTACATTGGCCGTTTTCCCATTACCTCTGGCAGTTTTCTAGTGTTTTAGTAAGTCTTTTAGTAAGTGTTCAAAACTGCAGCATGGATGTATACAGGTAGTTTAAAACGGCAGCGTCTGGGATGCTCTCGGACGCAGGTTCGAATCCTCGTCACGGCCCTACCTTACCTTGAAGTGCTTCCGGGGCTTAGCGTTCCTGC